TTTTTTTTTTTTTGGCATCTGGATTCCAACTTCGGTCTGTATGTCAACAGTTCATGGGTGTACCAACTGAGCTAGGACCCGTGGGTACCCACCTCTTTTTTCCCCTCCTCTCTGCCATTCACTTATACCAGAGTAGCTCTTGCTCACTTCGGAAAATTTCTCTAGCTCTCCACTTTTCGACCGGGGAAAGAAAAAGAAAAAAAAAAGATCCTTGTGAAATGATTTGCGGAAACAAAAAAAAGCCATAGCGTATACCAAAAGGAGGAGGTACCTGGGCTGGTTAGTCCGATGATAATACCTCAAGGCCATCGCCCTTTTAAAAAATAAAATAAAAAAATAAAAAAAGGAGGAGCCTTGACCTTTCAATTTTAAAATGTGATATTAAAATTAATTACTAATTACTATAGTAATTTCATTTCCAGAAGAACAAAAAAAAAGCGCAATAGCGATGCTAGGGGGGGGAATTTTGGAGGTCTTTTTTCGGTTCCGCTTTGTTTCTTTCACTTGATCAAGAGCTACCGGTTTGCTTCTTTCACTCCATGACGCTAATGCTTCATTATCGAGTTTTTTTTTTATGTTTTTTTTTTTTCTTTTTCGGTTACGCTTTGCTTCTCTCACTCGATGATGACGAAGCATTACCGTCGACACATCACCAGATTATTTCAGCCAAAAAGTGTGTGTGTGTGTGTGTGTGTGTGCTGTCTCTTATACACATCTAGATGTGTATAAGAGACAGCTGTATGTGTGCGCGAATGCCCCCTTCAGAAAGAAGGAAGATCAAGCATAAAAGCAAAAAGACGAAGGTCACATTAAACCCACCCAATCCAAACAACAAAAGAGAGAGAGAGAGAGAGTAGAGGATCAAGAGCTACCGACTACGAGCGCTTATGCAAGAGAGAGGAGAGAGAGAGAGAGAGAAGAAGAAAAATCACAAGCAACCGCCAGCTGCACTAACGTGCTCGGATGCCCCCGTGAAAAAAGGAGGAAGAACTTGGATATAGAGGGAAAGACGAAGGTCACCACGTTAAACCCATCCAGTCCAAACACAACATGTTCAGTGAGTTTCTTGGGCTTTTCAAAATCATGTTGACGGAAAAGTTGTTCAAAATTTTCACAAAAGGACAACGGTTCAAATCATTGTGTTTTAACAAAAAAAGGATTTAAAACTTTGAGCTCTCAATTTCACTGATCGGCAGGAGCTGCACCGTGTTTCAACAAATAGGTAGGGTTCCCTGGTTGCAATGGAAGGTGGCCAGGACATTAAGAAAAATAAA